TTCAATTACCTGTTTGCTTATAATAATAATGTTATTCACAAGAGCTTGACATCGTTAATGTCAAATAAAGGAGGGAAAACAATCAAAAACGCATACCTAGAAAAAGACAAGAAATATAAATTTGCTTCTCCCTTACTCTTATGTATAACTATATACTTGCATTCCTTTCACACGCTGATGACGTCATGGAATGTTTAGTCTATAAGATACTATGTCTATGGTAGGATTAGACCATTCTCTACTAGGAGTAAAGTATTCTGTGGTTAACATTCTTCTCCGCTAGTTCTGTGATTCTCTATCTGGTCTGTGGATTAGACATAAAAAATGCAAGAATAATTGATTTTCAATAACTTTTTTCTCAGAAATTACGCGCTTCCGCATATTGTAACTTTGTGTGTGTGCTTATAATAGTGTAACCTTTCTGTAAAAATACGTATCAACCCCCAACTCGATGGGAGTCAATGGAAAGTCGTACCTTTTATTTTTATACTGTATTATTTTATTTCTTTAAACATTTTGTATATAAGTACCTTTTTATATATTTACTACTTATTCTTCATTATATAGTGGATATTAAGTATGTATATTTTACTAACTTTATTCTATTTATTTGCATTTTATTGTACCTTATTAAAAAAAAAAGAAATAAAGATTTATTTCTTATTTATTAATTTTAATAAGTGAATTGTTTACACCTGCTACAGCTACTCAAACCATCCAGGTCCAGGACCAGTCAGTGGTAGAGAATGCCATAAGGCATTAAGCTTGCTCTTTGTAGCCCTAACTATTAGGTGTATGATGAAGATTAAATAAATAAAATATATAAATATCTCTATACATATTTCATAACCAAAAACATAATTTGTGATTTATTTTATTTATTACATTGTGAAAGTTTTAGTGAAATAGTTTTTAAAATTTAATCATACTTTATTATGATAAAGTAGAATGTACCACATTTTTTTTCAAGTATCAACATCATCTACACACATTCCCTGCTAATGAACAATTATTTGATGGTAAGCCAATGTCAGAAAATCCATCTAAATATCTTCATCATTATTGTAGCCCCTCGCAAGCCTGCAAACTACTGAAAATAGACATCCCCCAAGAAATCCCACAAAACACAATCCTGAGCCACCTGAATCCATCAAATTCCTACATGTCGTAGGAATTTGATGGATTGTCACTCCATTTAGTGGGGGCCACTTTAGGGAAGCTGCCACTATAGAACCTTTTATAAAACTTTAGTGACATTAACTTCCAGTCCACCTGATGGTAAACGACTCCTGCAGTCTTTGGACAGCTGCAGCCTTTATCAACAAAGCCCAAAGAAGCACTGCTACTTCTGCATTGCACTGTATTTATACTAGCTCTCTTTTCCATTAGTTGTAGGTTCATTCTGCTATGTGGCCTGCCCATTGCGACTGTCCTGAGCTATTACAAATTGCTCAGTTAGCACTCAATTATTCTTATTTTTTAAAAGATAGCCAACACATAGGAACTTGATAGTAAAGAAGGCTAGGCCTGTTTTGGTGTGTAGTGGTAGTGTATTAATATCCGCTTATACCTTATTATCCCTTGGGTGTCGTAAGAGGAGACAGAGGGAAAAGGAAACAGGTGATGGGCAGCAGCATCTTCCTGAAAACAACAGAAAATCTAAAAAAAAGCTGTAGTTGCTGTTTAGCAATGGACTATACTGAATAATACTTACACCCATTTTTTTAATTTGTATGGTCATCCTAAGCTGTGATTTTTGGGTACTGCCCCAGAAGGAAAGTAATGTTTTTGTAAAGTATGTATGTATGTCTATTTCTTTGGCACGCTCTGTTGTCTAAATGACTTGATGGATTTTAACATATGAAGTGTTGTTAGATTCATATTATTTGTGGGAGTGACATAAGCTGTATAATGTAAATACAAACTAAAAAGAGAGGAGGTTTTTTTTTCCATACACATTTTGACACAGTCGGTTTTTTTTTTCATTAAACTTTTTGATGCATTTGGTTTTTTTAACTACTGTTTTAACTATTAAGCTTGTTCAGTATAGTGGCAATATTGTGCCGTTGTGTTCTCAGGTTTGGAAATGTGCACGGAGACGTGGCGGGGCGCGGGCGTGACCCGCTCGCCCTCACACGATTCATTCACTACAGACTCCCTCTCCCTGTTTAGTGTGTCCTTCGCAGCCTCTGATGCTCGGGTGCTACGGCTCCTAGCTTCTAAGGTAATGACATCTCCATCTTATACTTTATCATTATTCTGATCATAAGCATTTCCAAACTTTTACAAACAGATATTTTACATCTGCATGTGGTGTACCCTGCTATCTAAGGATTGACACCTGTACATATTAATATATTTTTTACTTATATATACAATTCTTCTGTATATGTTTGTCACTGAACTTCTTCTTAACGGCTGGATCGATTTTGAATGGGTCACTGGTTGGTTTATATTCACTGAACGCGATTTGATAAGAACTGCATTTATTAACTGTTAATTTTTTGTTGTATTTTTTATTTGTTATCTTTGTACTTTGTGCTCGAGCCACGTCGTTATTTGTATTTAGTAGTGATGTCATCGCCCAAGCTACTAATCCGTTGCCTGCGGACTGAGTTACGCTGGGCCACAAGCGCCCATGCTTTGAAAGATTCGAGTAGTTTTACTATTTATCGGTAGATGTAGATAGTGTAAAGTGGGCGGAACATTGCATCCCCTCACCCCGCAAATTGTCACGCGTTGTTACATATAATAATAATAATAATAATAGCCTTTATTTCAGACAGTATTTCATTTACAGTATCTATCTGGATTATTCTATATCTAACACTGGATTATATATTATATATTTTTATACTCTCAACGCTTAACTATTGTACATCGACAACCCTGTCTGTATGCCACTTATTGGCAAAGGCCTCCTCCAACCTTTTCCATTCCTCTCTATCCTTAGCAGTTCTAGTCCATATGCCTCCTGCTATGGCTTTAATGTCATCCTCCCATCTTCTACATGGTCTACCCCTTTTCCTTTTCATATGACCTGTAAACCAATTCATTATCGATTTGGACCATTTCTCCTTTCCTCTAATTATATGGCCTGACCATTTCCATTTTAACTTTTTTATTGTTATTGTGACATCTTTTGTTTTCGTGTGTTTCTTTATGGTTTCGATTCTTATTCTATCGGATAGTCTTTTCCCCATCATACTCCTTTCCATAGAGTTTTGGCAAGTTTCTAACTTTTTAATGTGTGATTTAGTGAGTGCCCAGGTTTGGCAGCCATAAGTGAGTATAGGTAGTATACTGGTATCGAAGAGTTTCCGTTTGATGGTTATGTTAGTATCGTTATTTTTCATTATTTCTTTTAGGCTCCAAAATTGTTTCCAGGCATTTCCAATGCGTCTGTCAATTTCTTTTGAGGTTAGATTTACAGGAGAGATTATCTGGCCCAAATAGATGTATTCATTAACATATTCAATCGGGTTATTATTGATCAGAATAGGTTCTTTCTTGCCATTGGTCATAGCCTTGGTCTTTAATGTGTTCATGACCAATCCTACATTGCCACTTTCTCTAATCAGGTCATTCAGCATCGCCTGCAGTCCGCCACTCGATGACGAGAGGATTATCAAATCATCGGCAAATCTCAAATGTGACAGGTTTTCACCGTTAATGGACAGTCCACATTTCTCCCAGTCTAATTGACGAAAGACTTCTTCCAAAACGGCTGTGAAGAGTTTCGGCGATAGCGGATCGCCCTGACGTACGCCTCTTCCTATTATAATATCTTTACCTTCCTTCTCTAGTTTTATCTTAGCCTTGCTGTTATCGTAGATATTTTTTAGTATTCTGATGTATTTATTTTCAATACCTTGGTTTTTGAGTGCTTGCCAAATTTTTTCATGCTCTATTGTATCGAAAGCTTTACTGTAATCCACAAAGCAGCAGTAAAATGTTATGTTGTATTCATTGGCTTTTTCGAATAGTTGCTTGATGACATGAATGTGGTCTAAAGTTGAGTATCCGCTCCTGAAACCCGCTTGCTCTCTTGGTTGATTTTCATCCAACGTGCTAGTTATTCTATAGAGTATAACTTTTGCGAAGATTTTATATATATTTGACAATAGACTTATAGGTCTATAATTATTAATGTTATTTTTATCTCCTTTTTTGTGTAGAAGTACTATTGATGACGTTGTCCATTGGTAAGGTATTATCTCGCTTTGTAAGACTTCATTGAAAAGATGTTTGAGAATTGGTATCAGGTGGTTTCTATTTAGGATGAGGAACTCGTTACTTATGCCATCTAATCCTGGAGCTTTATCTGCTTTTTGAGTTCTCACAGCTTTTTCTATTTCTTCGTGTATTATATCCGGTACTTCATTTTCTCCTGTTAGGATTGCTGTCTGTGCAGTATATTTCCTTGAATACAATTCTTCAAAAAATTGAGTGGCTATTGATATGATTTCAGGGCGACGCTTCTCACATTTATGATTTTTATTTATTAAATTTGGTATCCAATCTCGTTTTTCCAATAGTAGTTTAGCTGCTTTTTTGGTGCCTCCGGTTCTTTGTATGCATTTTTCCAGTTGTTCCAATCTATATCTCTGACGGTCTTTTCTAATGTGTGTTTTTATTTTATTACTTAAATTAGCTATGTCTTTTCTTAGTTTTTGTCTTTTCAGGGTTAGATATAAGGTCTGCTCTACTTCTTATCAGTTCTTTAGTTTTGTTTGTTATCCATTTTGTCCTGTTGTTTCTACTTTCCATTTTGCCTTTTTTAGTAGTATAGAGGAGTTCTTCGAATTTATTGTATTTATTCTGTATGTCTAAATCCTTTGTTTTTTCTATGAATTTTTCTAGCTTTCCTTTTAGTGAATCGGTACTTTCTAGTGTTAAGCTGTTGGTTTGTTTTACTTTAAAGGGTCTATCTTTATTAAGTGTGTTTATTTGTAACTTAGCTCTTAGCATCCTGTGGTTGCTGTTGAAATTAATATTGTTTAAAACTCTACAGTCCCGAAAGTCTTTACTTTTGTTAGTATGTGATCTACCTCGTTTTTGTGGTGACCATCTGGAGATATCCATGTCCATCTGTTGTTCTCACGTTTTCTGTAAAGAGTGTTTAGTACTTTTAAGTTGTTTTCATATGCCAGTTGGACAAGTTTCTCCCCATTTCTTGTTCTTTTGCCTGAACAATACGGACCCAATATCATTTGTTCTCCGTCTCCTCTTGCCCCTGTTCTTGCATTAAAATCTCCCATCACTACTAAATTGTTGTGCGAGTGTTTGATTATCGCGTCTTGTAACATGGAGTAGAAGGTGTCGATTTCTGTTCTACTTGATTGTTCAGTTGGAGAGTAGACTTGCACAATCGACCATCGATCGTTTTTCGGAGGTAGTTTTATATTGAGTATAACAATACGCTCTGAGACGCCAATGAACTCGTCAATAAATGGTTTTAATTCATTTTTTATTAAGAATCCTGTTCCATATAAGCCTGGTGTTTCTCCTTTATAATAAAATATAAAATGCCCATGGTCTTCTATACTCTCCCCTAGTCGTCGGACTTCACTCAAACCCAGTATTGACCACTTTACATTTTCTAGAGCTAGTATTAGTTCCGTTAGACTCTCATTGGTTCTTAAAGACAACGTATTGTATGTCGCAATGTGTATTTTATTTGTCATTTGGCGATGTTTTTTAGGAAGAATGTGTAATTGGATATTAGTTGGAGGGTAATAGTCTTCTTCCCCCACGGTGACTGGCCGGATTGGGGTGCCTTTAGAAAAAGTTTGTTTTATTGATGTTGTGTTGTCTCGGTTCCGGGTGTCGATGTCCTTTACAGGTTTTTTGGTATTTCAGATATCGAAGCTGATCTTCCTCTTTCCACATAGCTGAGCATGTTAGGTCTTATAGTGTCTTTTCCTACAGTTTTGGTCGCGGAGTTGATTTGTGTCTTGAAAACTGTAGTGGTAGCTTTCTTTTCATTTGATTTGTTTGGCGAGCCTGACTCTTCTCTTTTTCTCTTTTCTGGGTAGTTATCTCTGTTTTTCTTTACTACTAATTTATTGTATCTTATGAATGCTACATTTCCTTTTTTCTTTTCTTCTTCAACCTGTAACTGTAGCAGCTTGCGTTTTTCTAGGACTTCTTTAGAATAATCTTCCTTAATGTATATTCCTTGCGGAAGTTTAGACTTGTTTCGCAATATCAAGTGCTTTTTCCATAGCGTAGTAATAGTGACTACGACCGGGCGGATTTTGTTGTCCACCTGTTTCCCAATTCTGTATATATTACTGATTTCATTACTATCGAAGTGTATTTCCAAGTCCATTATGACGTCCTTGATGTAATCCACAAGCTCACATTCGGTTTTTCCTCTTTCTTCTATTCCAAAAAATACTAAATTGTTTTTCCTTTTTTCATCTTTCAAAAACTTTACTTCCATTTCTAATTCAGATATTTTTGTTTTGAGGGTACTATTTTCTTCCATAATAAATTTCATCTTTTCATCAAGCGCCTCCATTACATTTTTCGTCACTGAAGTTGTTATTAGAAGAGCTTGATTATTGAGTTTCTTATCTAGTATTGATATTAGCTTTTCCATATATTTTTCCTCCATTTTTAGGGAAATTTTACTGTTATGGCAACACTGTATTTTAGTTGGTAGCCCAAGATTCTGTTTGGCAACACTAGGTTTCGTTAAGTAACACTGAATTCTGGTAGGCAACACTTTTGTTAATGTCACTTCTTGAAAGTTGTTTATGGTGTGTTGTTCACTTCCCTTCAATGATTTTGCAATTTTAGGTTATGTTCCAATATTGTTTGTTGTACAATTTTCACCTTAATGTTGGTTTCCACTGTTTTTTGTTCTTGATATTCCCCGTTTGTGTTTCGTTGAGCAATCTTGGTTAAAATACGGTTGATTACACTTGTTTTTGCACAAAACTCGAGTAAATATTCGCGGAGAACGTTGACGCTCGTCTAATCAGTTCAATGACCGGAACCGGAATTTGCTTTGCTGCTTTAGCGTTGTTACATAGTGAAATTTAATTACAACGTCTCCTCTTTGTATTTGCTTCATGGCGCCAACCAACCAACGCGTTCCGCCCGAAAAGGAACTAGAGGTTGAGACTAGACCGTAGTCCACAGCAAAATAACTGGCGAAAAGATAAAAAGGGCTTGGCCCCTTGTTATTCATAACAGCTTTGACAATAGAAAATATGAAATAATATTTGTTCAATTAAATAAGTGATTTAAAGAACACAGCTTCGACAATCGCCTCATAGGAGAGATATTTACCGTAGTTGCAACGCTTGGTAAGCGGCTTGCCAAGCGCAGCTTTTAAATTTAGTCGTTATTAGGAAGGAACTGCTGAAAGAATCTTCTGATTTGTTTCCTTCTGTCGCCTTTTAAGACACCCACGGCATGATATGGACTGGTGGATATTCTTACTGCGGCACACACAAACTAACATTTTTACAATAAATGATTCATAACAGCTTAGACAATACAAATTATGAAACCAATATATCTATTTAGTTATTCTTAACAGCTATAACAAAACAAACTACAAAAATAATATTTTTTACAATACATGATTCTAAACAACTTTAACAAAACTAAGCATAAAAATAATATTTTTTACAATAAGATTCATAAACAGTTTTGACAATACAAAATTTGAAAACATATTTTTACACTAAATGATTCTAAACAGCTATAACAAAACCTTCACTGCAAATTTCATCTTTTTGGTGATCTTCTCAAATGCTACTTGATTACTCATTTATTCTGCATTTGATAGACGAGTCCTAAATTCTTTTATAGTTTTTCTAGACTTCTTTAATTGAAACTTAAGTTTTCTTGCATGCTTTTGTAACAACTTCTAATTCTTAGGGTAGTATCCGATTTCGTCTGTTTATCTTTATCTGAAAATGTTTAATTTATACATTAGCTTTTTCAAATTGGAATTTACAATGTAGTAATTTGCAATAAATGTTGTAAAATTATATATTTTAGTATAGGATATTCATATACTAGACTATATTTGCTTCCCTACTAAGCAAATTGTTAGAAAATGTTGTTTGATACTAAAATATAAGGAATTAAATATTTGATAGTTTGATAGTTTTATTTAAAAAAAAGTTACCTCCACACTAGGATTTTCTCCTGTATCGTGGGGTCAGTTTACATACATAAATTTCACAAGGATAAACATCCAAATCCAGGACAATTATTTGTAGGCCATACAAATACTTGTTCCGTGCGGGATTCGAACCCACGGCCCTTAGCGTTGTGACTTATTGCTAAGCCACTGCGCCACGGAGCCGCCAAAAACCTTATACAAAAAAATTATTTGTAATTATAAAATAAAATAAAAATTTAAGGTATGTACACAAGAACAAACATAAGTTAGTTTCACGTTTACAAGTTTCTCGAGTCCATACAGCCAGTAATTCCATCATGGGGCAATGTGTGTGAAAATATGCAGGCCTTATCTATCAAAAAGTTTAAAATTTTTATCAAGCAAAAATTGTTTAATAAATATTTATTATGCTACTACAGTGTACATGATTGATAATAACCCCTGGCAATGGGGTGATCACTACCATGCTGTTTCTGTTTTCATACTAATTGTATACAATACTTCAAAAAAAAGTCCCACAGGGTTTCTTGCTGGTTCCCCCAGGACAAAGGATTTTTTTGGAATCAGTACTAATAATAGTAAAAAATTACTTTCAATAAGAACTACATGTAATCTATACGTTAAAAATGATTCTATGGTATTCTATTCTTATATACTATAACTTCATTAACATCTGTCTGTGATGTTGAAGGCTGCTCATGTGGATGCAGACGGGGCAGTCTGTGATGCGAATTTGTATTTTCAAAATACAAATTCGCATAATTTAAAAATAATTTTGTACCCCCACTACTTTAGAAAAAGAATGCGCGCGCATGCTTGTGCTTGGTACCTTTGTATCACAACGGTGTACGCCGAAAACATACGAACAATTTCAGCCGGTGCACAACACGGTTTGTGTTTACGTTTACGAAAACTAATAAAATTAAACTCTATGTTCGTTACGTATTTTTACAACAATATAAAATTTTAATTATCTATCTTTTAACTTAAACAAAAAATTATACATGTTCTCGATTTATAGAAGAATTTTAATTCATCAAAATAAGCGCCTTCCGTGGATATTTGTGCCAGAGCCGCACTTAAGGAGCCAAAGAGCCACATGCGGCTCTGGAGCCGCACTTTGCCGACCACTGCTTAAACAAACAGTTAGTTATAGACCAATATCGATTGCCGACGGTTAATTAACTTTTTTCTAAGTTACATGGGGGCCAATACTTTACTAAGCTTGACCTCTCAATGGCGTATAATCAATTTTGCCTAAATGAAGAATCTCAAAAGCTAACCTGTATCAATACCCATCGGGGTTTATTTTCTTATACACGTTTAGTTTTCGGCTTAGCTAGTGCGCCGGCTATTTTCCAGCGTGCAATGGAATATGAAATGAAGTACATTTTTTACTGGATGATATTCTGATAATCGGCAAAGACGATGCCGAGCACCTAGACAGGCTACACCAGGTGCTACAAAGATTACAAGACGCGGGCTTAACGTTGCAAAAAAATAAGTGCAGTTTTTTTAAAGACGAAATAAGTTACCTGGGATACGTCATAAATAGAAACGGTTTAAAGAAGTCACCGGAAAAGGTTAAAGCTATATTAGAAGCGCCAATCCCCACAAATGTTAACCAATTACAATCGTTTTTAGGCCTCGTCAATTACTACAGGTGTTTTGTTCCAAAAGCATCATCTATTTTATCCCCCCTCTACCAATTATTAAAAAAGGGGATAAAATGGAAATGGTCTAAAGTAGAAAACGAAGCGTTCGACAATATGAGAAAAATATTATCATCGGAACAGGTTTTAACACATTTTAATCCAAATGAAACAATTATACTAACCGTGGATGCGTCACCTAACGGGTTAGGTGCTATATTATCGCAAAAAAATTGTGCAGGTATTGAAAAGCCACTCTCGTTTGCATCACGGACGTTAAATAATGCCGAGAAAAGGTATTCTCAAATACAAAAAGAAGCTACTGCTATCGTATTTGGAGTACGGAGGTTCCACCAATATTTATATGGTAGGTCTACGCCTTTTATTCTACGTACGGATCACAAACCGTTATTCACAATTTTTGGGCCATACAAAGGAATTCCGGAGGTATCGGCTAACCGTTTGCAGAGATATGCTTTATTTCTAAGCGGATATAATTACACGATAGAATATTTTAAGAGTTCGGATAACAGTGCAGACTACTTGTCTCGTTTCAGCCTCCCGGGCGCCGATGCGAGCAGTGGCGGCACGGGCGGGGATTCAAACGCGGGCCACACGGAAACCGCCGATATCGACGACCGCACAGCGTACGTTAATTTCGTTGTCAAGGGCGCGATACCAATAACCCTACAGGCGTTACGTGATGCAATAAATAAAGATCGCATTATGAAAAAGGTCATACATTATGTTTTAGAGGGATGGCCAAAAAAAGTTAATGATCCAGAGATAAAACCCTATAGTTTATGCAAATTAGCGCGTGCTGCGTGTAGTTGTTGGTGGCGGGCCAGGCGGGCGCGTGCGGCGGCGTCTGCGGCGCGGGCGGCGC